CAGGTCATGATCCCAGGGTCCTGGGATCGAGCCCCACATCGGGCTCCCTGCTCGGCAGGAAGCCTGCTTCTCCCTCTCCCACTCCCCCTGCTTGTTTTCCTGCTCTCGCTAACTCTGTCAAATAAATAAATAAAATCTTAAAAAAAAAAAAAAAAGGCGCTGAAAGTTGCAAGAGTCAAGGCTGGGGACTCCGCTACAAGGTGGAAGGGGCGTGGCGGGGTGGTGTTCAGCCTTTGCAGGTGGGGTCAGGAGGGTGGGCGTGACCCTCAGGGGTGTGGCCTTCTCCGTAGGGTTGGGTGGGCAGCGCAGGTGAACACCTTGGGCCCTTCCCCCTGGGTAAGAGGGCGGGACCAGACGCAGGAGCCGGGCTTCACCTGTGACGTGTATCTCATCTGCAGTCGGAGCTCGGATTTCCAGCTGCAGGCGCCCACGGCGCTCCGTGTGGTCCACCCCGCACAGAGAGGGCACGCTGCGCACACAGCGTCGGTGCACGTTCATCTCGCAGCCTAGGGGGGACAGAACGTGAGGTAGCGTGTCCCGCCGCCCCCTCACCCCCAGACGCCATCCTCCAGCACTACCCGGAACCCAGACACTGCGCTTTGAAAGGGGCCCCGAGGGGCACCTGGGTGGCTCAGTTGGTTGAGCGACTGCCTTCGGCTCAGGTCGTGATCCCGGAGTCCCGGAATCGAGTCCCGCATCGGGCTCCCTGCTCGGCGGGGAATCTGCTTCTCCCTCTGACCCTCCCCCCCTCTCATGTGCTTTCTCTCTCTCTCTCTCTCAAATAAATAAATAAAATCTTTAAAAAAGAAAAGAAAAGAAAAGAAAAGAAAGGGGCCCCGGAGCTCCAGGTTCTGGCAGGAGCCGCAAGGGTAGACTCACAGGAGCATTTCATGCCCTGGTGCACCAGCCCGTAGAGAAGGGAGCCGCAGTGGTCGCAAAAGGTGGGGCTGCTATAGCTGTGCAGACGGAACTTGTGCTTGTTTCGGGGGTCCTGGAGGCAGAGAGGAGACATCAGAGGGGGTTCAGGAGGGGGGTGCCCTAGACCCCTGGGAGAGAAGCCCTTTGAACCCTGCCTCCTCTGCCTTGCTCTCCCAGTCTTCTGCGGCTCCACCTCACTCATTCACTCTACAATATTTATTGAGGGCCTACTGTGTGCCAGGCACTGTTCTTGGTGCCAGGACCAGCCGTGAACAAATAAAAACTCCTGTCCCCGTGGAGTTTCCTTTCTAGTGGAGGGAGACAAAATAAACAGTGAATAAATAAAATAGTATGAGAGATGGTAGCAGGTGCTTTGGGGAAAAATGAAGCAAGAAAGGGGATTGCCAGGGGTGGGGATTGAAATTTGCAGAAAGTGATCAGGGAAGGCTTCACTAACAAGGTGGCATTTGGGCAGAACCCGCAGGAGGTGGGGGCTCCTAATGTTCCAAGTCCCTATGCTCCCCCCCACCTCCCAAAAGCTGTTCTCTGAGGACTTGTGGGCCACAATGAACTCCAGATGGTTCACTGTCAGCCTCTGTCAATGTCTGCCCACTGACGATCTGCCTTCTCTGAGCCCCTTGTGAGATGGAGAATATGACCTCTCAGTCAATGAAAGACCAAGTGTAGGGGCGCCTGGCTGGCTCAGTCGATGGAGTGTGCGACTCTTGATCTTGGGGGTGTGAGTTCAAGTCCCATATTAGGTGTAGAGATGAAACAAAGAATGAAAAGAAAGGAAAAAAAGAGAGAGAAAAAGAGGAAAGAAAGAAAATAAAAAGAAAGGAAAGAAAGAAAGAAGAAAGAAAGAAAAGAAAGAAAGAAAGAAAGAAAGAAGGAAAGAAGGAAAGAAAGGAAGGAAGAAAGAAGGAAAGAAAGAAAGAAGAAAGAAAGAAAGAAA